AGAATCCGGACATAGCTAGATTGAGGAAAGAAATGGTAAACTAGAGTGGTTTATAAGTGAAGACCTATTCTATGTATGAAACGTAGAACATTTAAAATAAAAGTAAAACAAGACAGAATACATAACAAGAATATAACGGGGCCAAACAGCTAGAGCATGCAAACATGCTCAAGTGGATAATAGACAAAATACAAATTTGCTTATGAATGGATATAATTAAAGGGTTGTGGCACCAACAGCAGGGTTTACCACTGGAGCTATAATTTGCATGAAACTCTTAGAAGCTAAAAAGGCAAACAAAACCAAAACAACGACAGGCACAGAAAAGCCGACTGGTGATGGAGTGCAACTAAACAGCTGGTGACATTTCCTGAGTAAACTCATTCAGCCAAAGGACAAAAGAACCTGAAAGACAAAAGATCATATAACGCTGCCGACATGTTGGCCTTTGACTGAAGAAGAAGCTGTTGGTTTGTTGACATTTAATCATCTGCTGATATTTTCCCACCAGTTCTCATCAAAAATGTCATTCATTTGCATCTCTCTCGCCCCTTTTAGTTGTTCATATGCTAAATTGGAAAACTAAACAAATGTATCCATAACAATACAAAATTTCTCTTCTATAAAGCCAAGATACCATGAACAAAAACCCTGTTAGGAAAGTTTCTCTTGCTTTTTCAACAAATTGAATAAGAAATATTTCAACCTGGAGAGAAAAGCTCCAGTTAGAACATTTTTATTAACATGACTGAAATAAGTGATTTGGCTCTCAGGCCCCGGCAGAAGACTTTGATTCTGTGAATTGACTTTCACTTGGATGAGTAACCTAGGATAAGGATTAGGCCCCGTCCACACGAAGCCGAACCCTGGCCTAAACGCACAAATTTTTCACCAAACCAGCCTCTCATCCATACGAAGCCGGCGTTTCGGGGGTCTGTAAACAATCTTTTTTTTATTTAGCCTTCAGAGTGGGAAGATTTTGAAACGCTGTTTTCACGTTTCCATCTTTAAGCTCTAACCGCATATTTTTTTACACGCATGCGTCATAGCGTCGCCTCTAAACACGCATGCGCGACACAGTATCACAACAACAATGGCGCCGTACTGTGTTGAATGGTTGCTGCTAATGCTACTCACCCTGCTGTCGGGCTTACAACAGAATCTTCTTCTTCTGGAATATCTCCAGGAAGAACAGAGCAATATCGACGACATAGTTCAGCACCTGAATTTGACTGAACCACGAAAATGGACCCGCAGGGCAACCATGTATAAATATTAGTGCGCATGCCCAACATTTCGTCGCCTATTTTTACTTTGGCACCACAGCGCCACTTATAGGCCTGGCATACATTTTGCAGCGTTTTCATGTATTTGTGTGGACGATCACATTTATTTTACGTCTCCGTCTTTACGACAAACGTTCTGGAAAATATTAGCGTTTCTTGTTCGTTTTGACTTCGTGTGGACGGGGCCTTTGATTCTGTGAATTGATTTTCACTTGGATGAGTAACCTAGGATAAGGATTAGAGTAGTCTTTCCCCCCGGGGCCCGGACACTTGGGCTGGAATAAACAGGAGTACATGGAACAATGCATAGCATTAGAGTGAGGAGTGGTAGAAGATGGAGCGGGGGTCGGTGAAATTTGGGCAGAAGCTAATTGAAGGTGATCTTGAAAGATGATTGGATCAGAAAGAGGTGCCTTCCTGATTGGCTGGCACTTGACTGATAAGAGTGACTGATAAGTCTTCAAGGTTTAATTTTAGGAAAAGCTTGGGATCCTTACCAGCTAGATGGTAGAACAGTAGCCCTCATCAGGTCATTCAGAAATATGACTCTCTTTTTGTTTGTTTTTTTGTGATTAATAACCTGCTGAAGCAAGTTTATGCCAGATATGGGAAATTGGTGAAAGCAGTTAAGCATCTCTGCTAAAATAATTATGAAAACTGGTCAAATTTAGAGACAAATATTTGCGTGTAAACCAGATGCCCTTGACTATCAAAACCCACTTGGTATGAATCTAGCATGATAAAGCTTGGTTTATGCTTGAAGCGTCCGCAAGGTCCGCTCGTCCAAATTACGTCATTTTGGGCTTCCAGGCTCATTTTCCATGTGGAATGTCCGTGTGTCAAGCATGATTAGCCCTTAAGACTGTATCATTTGGATTAATATTTTACAGTCAGTGGCTAGTGAACTTTAAGCCGTTTCGAAACTGATATTCAACACTGTGGAGGATAGGTTTATAAGGTGAAACTGAGGAATGTTGTATGTCATCAACATACAAGGTGACTTCAATTAACATAATTTGCCTGGATTTAATCAGTGATGTGTTGTTGAGGATGTTCTCTGGAATAGGGATTAAACTCAAATAAGTTGTTGTCCATCTTTTTTTGCTGACCACCTCTGATGACCAAGGGGTCATGTGTGCCTCACACGTAACAGAAACCAAGAATCAGGCATAATTTTCTGTAAATCAAAAGCAAATGATTTAACTCAAAAGGCACGAAAATGTGACAACCCGAAAAGAATCGTTTATAAAAAGAGAGAAATGGAGCAAGTCTCTGCAGATTCCTTACAGAGAAGTGTTATAAGCTTTTACAGAACAATCTGTTCAAAATAGCCTTTTTATTTGAACCCCTTATGTCTTAAATGTGTTTGATGAGCAAACTGACACCTCTGTGCAGATGCATCTATAAGCCTAAAGCATATTTTCCCTGAATTTATTTTGGGTAAGAGGTTCCTGTTCTTTCTGTGGATGCAAGGTCAAGCTTTTCCATGTCAAATGAGGCCAACCTAAAAAACAATTGAAGCGTCAGCGTCAGTAATCAGAAGCAAGGTGAAAAGGGTAAACCTTATCGGAGAAAGCTACGAAAGGAGGAAGAAGAAGAGTCCTGCAGGTCTGTGCTTTGGCCACAGGTGGCAGTATCATTAGAAAACTCTGTCATGTCTCTTTAACCAGAAAACCTCTTAAGGGGCAAAGCCAGATTTAATCACTGACGTTGAAGCTGTTTTTTAATGAAATATTGACACGACTCATTAGCCTTCTCAACCTCTGTTCATTGATATACGAAGGTTACCTTATTTTACAAAATAATGCATGTTTATCTCTCTAAAACAATCTTTCTAAATGTCTTAAAGTAATTTGCTTGACCATCTGACTCAGAAGTTCAGAAAAGCCAAATAAAAAGCAGAGAAATGTTGAGTTAAAACTAGAGATACACCGTTTCTGGCTGATCACCGATCATTGAAAGCCCTGACATGTCGATTCTGATTTGCACCTATACTGATTTTTTTTTTATAACTCAAACTTTAAGTTGTTATAAGATCACAAGACACCTTCAATATTATAATATTATCTTGAAAAATAATAATCAGTACCAGTGAAACAATGAATAGTTGTGAAAAAATGGCTCTAAAATATCAATTAAAGTTGATTTACAGTGGGTGTTTTATAGCGCTTTATAGAGGTAGATAATATCAATGGATAAGATCGGTTTTACATACAGATATCAGCCGAGCAACAATCTCCCAAAATTAAGAAAAACCTGGCCAAGCAATCAATTTGTGCATCCCTTGTTAAAACCCTGATAACTATGCCAACATGTTCTAATGCTAATAAAATGTATAGATTAAAGACTTAAAAAAGTAATTTAAAATCAAATGATGAAACATGATAACTAGAAAACTACTTATAACCCTTGTTGATTAGACACAACACAACAGCACAGGGAAATATAATTATATAATTTGCTAAGTTAAATCAATCGGTTTGAAAGGCAATAATCTTTAAAGCATGAATAACAGTATTAATAATCTATAGAACAGCTAAAACAAGCTTCGTGGGGTATATTAAGATAAGTTACATGCTGTACAGAGTTTTAGTGAATTATTTTATTCTCCTGTTTTTGCAAAGTGAATCCATGATCCAAAATATGGAAACTGCAAGATCTTCTATCAATTCTTGACACCGATATTTGGAAAGGGAGGCAGTACTCTGACTACTATTGATTCAGTATATGTATCTGCAGATCTCCATGCTTCCTCCCTTCGGGGGGGTGGACGATGGAGGGCAGAAAGGAGGCTATATATCACCAGTGAAGCATTAACTCATTTGTCTTCCAGTCATGAGGCCAAAGAAATAGAAAAAAAAAACAAGAGAGAGGACTGGAAGAAATTAAAAGACTAGTAAGGACAGAGACTGCAAGCAAGATAATGAAAAAGAAAAGGAGGATGGCAAGGATGAAAATGTCAATAAGAGAGAGGTTTAAAAATCTGGGATGAAGATGGAAAAAGTTCGAAGACAGTGATAAAGGAAGTGCGAGGGTAAATAGGTCAGATTCTATCTACTTATTTAATCATTTGAACAATAATTTTAACATTTAATCAAAGGCAAAAAGAAAGGAAATTATGTTCAATCTGAGATCTCAGTTAGCATATCAAAAGTTTAAGTTTATAATTTGATAAGGTAATTACAAAAATAAAAGGTACAATTGTTCCTTGTTAGGAAGGACAGAAGAAAAAGTATATGGGAGCAAATCTTAGGCTTCAAGGCTGCACCTGAATAAAGGCTTTTGAAATAATCAAATAGACCAAAATAGAAAGGTTTGATCATTAGACGGCAACATACTTGGTGGGAGGAAAAAAAAAAACGGCATATAAACACAAAGACCTTATAGTATTCCTAATTATTTGGGATATTTGCTGCAACATTGGAAAGAAGAGTGAACCAACTCAACAATGTGGAAGACTGATGGATGAAGTGATACAGAGACCTGGTACCTGGAGCTGCTGCTAAAGCCGGAAAAAAAGCTGTGAGATAATAAGGAGTAATGAGGTTTATCACAGTCAGTATTAACCCTTTACAATTTTTAGGGATGCCCCAATAAATTTTTTCAAGTTGTTCACTTTGAGAACTGAGCCATGCTGGTATGGAACCGATGTCTGCCCAAGTTATTCATACTTTTATTCGTTTTTTTCTCATGTGGAATGTTAAAAATGTATATTCCCATATGGTCTGGCGGTTAGGATTCCTGGTTTTCACCCAGGCGCCCCCGGTTCAACTCCCGGTATGGGAACTTCCTTTACTTGCTCAAATTATCACATTACAAAAAATATAGAGCTTGCAATCCATTTGAATTGAGAAAGCTTCCTGGAGAGGTAGCGAAACGTCTTCAAACCTTGGAAATCAAGTCCAGTGGTTTTTTGAACTTTTTCGGAAATCCAGAGGTTCCGAGTTTGTGCCCCACTGCCATTCTGGGTCCCTGAACAAAAGACCCTAAACCCCACACTGCTCCCTGGGCACCACACAAAGGCAGCCCACTGCTCTCCAAGGGAATGGGTTAAATGCACTTGTGACAATGTAATGACAATAAAAGCTGGAAAAAATAAAAAAGTTTGATCAAGTAATATTACTCAGAAAACAATAGTCAACCACAGCAGCATGAGAGCAACTGATCCATGTAATATTAACTAATGGTTACATAAACTTTAGACAGAAGCAGAGTGTTTCTATCAGTATAGCAATATCAGAAAATGTAGGTAAAGGCTGATAGAATCGGATTCTAGTCTTTCTGTCTGATTACAGACAGATATCTGATATCCATATAAGATTGGGACATTGATCTACAGTATATCATTATGGATTTATGGATTTACCCACTTCTGTTAGGATGGCATGTATCCACTGGTATATATCTACCACTAGCAGGAAGAGAAAGTTCGACTGGTAGTTATTGCGGTAAATAGATATTTTATTGTGGTGCTTTTGTGGGACAGATGTCCTGGGAGAGACAAGCCTACATAATACATGGACACTCAACATTTTACATGCAGCAAAATGTGTGTACTTCAATGCGGGGGACATATTTGGGTCAAACAGATGCAGTACACAATTTGGGACTTTAAAAGGGAAGTTGCTTGTAATGACAGTAAAACATGGAGATATTCCAATTCGACCCTTTAGATTTATTACGTTGTAAATTGGGTCGGATTGCGACGGAATATTTGCTCCGTTCATTTCTGGGCTTAGTTGTTTTTTCTTTTTTGTCTTTTTCTGTCGATAAGTGCTCACTTTACCACCCCTCCTTTTCTCTCCATCAGGGTTAAGAGGGCTGTGGTAAGTGGCCAGCGGCATGCAGGAGGGGTGGGCGGTGAGGCTGTGTGGGTGGTGAGTTTGTTACGCCTGCCAACTGCTCAAGTACAGTGATGAATGCTGCTGGGAGATGGAGAGCTAAACAGACAAAGGAGCAAAGTGGAAAACATGAGATTCTACGTTTATGTCACCTGGGATTACTTCAATTATTTCATGATTATTTGATCTTGCAAAACAATTCAAATGCAAATCTTTTAACACCAGGGAGATGATCTTTAAGGTTTAATTTTGATGAGTTCCTACTTACGGTACTGTTTGGCATTTATCCGGCTTTCCTAAAGGGTAATTTGGATTTTTCATTTATTTTACTCCCTTGCTATGGTTATGTAAATGAAATCTATATCTGGATTTATTGAATTTTGCATCAATCTTCTTTTCAGTCTGTAAGCAGCACTTTACGTTGCTGCTCACTGAGAAAGTACAACTCTAATAGTACAAAATGTTTTCCTGTTAAAGAATAAATACTATTTATTTAAAGATGTAAAAATATTCTATCCAATATATACTATTATGCTTTCTAGATTGAAAAAGACAATAACCTCTATAGTCATTAGTAGATCCACATATGATGCCAGTTATAGAGATAGACTATACCTTGTCCGGTTGATTTTTTTCAGCCGAAATTAGCAAGGGTTATCTTTGCATCAGCATCAGCCAACACATGCATGCATTGCCATATCATTCATGCATTAAGCAGCCATGCCTTGATCCCCTGCTCCCTCCATATTCATTGTTAATGTTTTCTTAACCCAGTTATTATCTTCATTTTATTCCACATGTTTAACAGAAAGCTTTTAACACTGAAGTTTTAGGACTCACCAAAATAAACCCTTAACCTATAAACATACCTTCTATTTAGTTTTTCAAAGCAAGCATTAAATGCATCCTTACACAATCTCCAAGTTTGGAATAAATAACTGCCTGTTGCTCCATATGTTTAGAAGCTGCCATATCATTGGTTCCTGCCAGTAATTTGCTAATGTTGTGAATGTCGTTATAAGCCATGCTTTAACAGTTTTACAGACATGTCAAACAGTGATTTGAATCTGAAAGTGTTGACCTAAAACTAAACTACCTTAATCTTATACTACACTGTCTGCACTGATGAAGTTAAAGTCACCTTAACATGCTTGGTGCTTGACTTTGAAACTGTTTGTTTTGCTTTTCGAATATTTTAGCAAATAATCACCTGTTTTCTTTAGAGGATTGAAGGATTTGTTTATTTAGTAATACCGAAACAGAGATGCATCCAAAACTTGTAGGACAGCATCTGAGTTGAATCTTGTTTGACTGAAAGAACTGTGACCAACCCTGGTTCTGCGTATTGAGGGACAAACAAAAGCTCTTTGATTAGTTGAGATTATTTTTCTTAGCTGGAGAAACAATTTACAGTAACAAATCAAGCCCTTGTATTCTGTAAATGTTATTGGATTTAATCAGATTTATTAGGATTGCTTGTGTAATCAAGTAAATAAATGTGCAACTAATGGTCTACTAAGATCGCTTGCACAATTTAAAACAGTTTGGAGTTTTGGAGACTAGCCTATTTAAATTAAGAATTTGCATGAGCTACTGAAGACTTTGGGAAAGCAGTGTGACCATACTTTAACAATAAAGATGAAGTTCAAATTCAGAGGTATTAATATTAACAAAAATGCTAATAATAATGCTAATAATAATAATAATAATAATAATAATAATATGCCTCTACAGTTAAGGGCTTATCTTAAAGTGCAACAACACATTTAAAATACTGAAAATAGTAAAAGCTAAAAATAATAATAATAATAATATGCCTCTACAGTTAAGGGCTTATCTTAAAGTGCAACAACACATTTAAAATACTGAAAATAGTAAAAGCTAAAGTCACAAAGTAAAATGTTCATCAATAAAAACCTGGAAAAGAAAATGTTTCTAGAGTCGGTGACATCCTGAAATTATCAGAAAGCTCAGTCCATAAACGACGAGACAACATCTCGGTCTCCCTCTTTACAGACTCTCAAATGGCTTCATCTTGTCTGGTAGTTGTTCATGTTCAGCATTGTTTGTTTAAAAACATGCTACTACATATAAGTTCATTCTAGTTGTTTTTCATCTTGGTTTAATAGGTACAGATTTTCTGAGGTCCCGCTGCATTAATCTGTCCGGCACAGACGTCCTCTCCCTAACAAAAATCTTATGTAACATGCAGCACACAGCTATATCTTTTCTACGCTATATAGAAGAGCCTCTTCGGTTCAGTCCTGTTGTTATTGTGTTGTGTCATTAAGTGAACGTGTGCTAAAATTATTATCCTGCAGCTCCACATTGACATTGCAGAATTTATGATATCTCTACCATTGTTATTTCTACTATCAGATGGTTTTCTCTCCATGCAGAAATTGCTCAAACATTTGTTCTCAGGTTTGATCAATTAACATTGCAGGTGGTAAAAAATGACATGTGCATAATTATCCTTCTGATGCATATAAGTTCTGATGATTACCATATTTGTCTTGAATATTCATGCAGGAAAATACCGACAGGAAAATGCCATTTTTGGACCTTCAGTGCTGTTTCTTTAATGATCTTTTTTTTTTTTTTTTCAGAAGATAATGGGACATTAAACCGGCTGTTTGATGACCAAAAACATGATGAGACGTGCTTGAGAGAAGACTAGACAAAAATGTCCATGGGTGTTTCATCAGACAATCAAAACCACCGACATTTATGCTAATGATGCATCTGTCAGGCAAAAGCTAAAAGATCAACAGTCTTCCAACACCTGAGTTTAAATGCAGTAATTCAAGTGCATTAAAACACTTGAGAGAGATAGATGATAGATAGATAGATAGATAGATAGATAGATAGATAGATAGATAGATAGATAGATAGATAGATAGATAGATAGATAGATAGATAG